CTATGCACACGAGTCAATATCTTACTGGTTTTTACCCCTCCAATTATTATAACAGAAAAATTAGTTATATGTGTGTCTTATAAAACATAAATGCCAATTAATATATAATAATTATAATTATGTATTCAAATATATGATGTATCATAATATTTACTTAAAAATAGGATTCTTTAGTTTTTAGTTGTTTGTCGATGGTTTAGTGTTTAGTTTAATGATGTCCACAGTATCATGTCATTAGGCAAAACATTAGATTGTGTTCATCTTCAAAGTGAACCATAATTAACCACATTGTAATGACCATAACTTCCCCGAGACCACCCGATAAGTAAATAACGGAAGAATCGTTTGTCGATAACTAGAGCTCGACGATTGTTACATAGTTTCGCCTGAAGTAAAATTTTTATTTTTAGTTTCGTTTGAAAAAAATAACCGTCGTTCGCGTGACGTGTATGTGCCAGTCTTTATTTCAATAAAATATCTAAAGGCTGGACGTTTCAAACCGTACAGAGAAAAATGCAATTTATATGCAGATAGTCGCGTGGTAGAAAACTGCAGTTAAATATGGAAAGTGTTTATGCCTTATCTGGGCCAAGCGTTCACGTCGTTAACGTTTAATCCAAGCGAGCTGCGATGTGACATATTTATGACGTCGACGTTCGTCGTCAGCCTCTAACGTAACGAAATACGTGCGAATGTTTTGCACAGGTGTATCTCATCCGTGACAAAATGCAAAACAAGCGCAATACCGGCAATACGGTATTCGCCGATGTTCTTCTCACGTTTCTTCGCGGTGAAAGAAGAAACAATGAATGTCAACGACCGATAAAGTTATATATAAAGTCCGATAACACCCTATCGCCAGGTAATTCGGCCAGATCTAATCTTTTTCGAAAAGAACAAACGCCCAGTCACTCAAGGTAAATCAAATTTAGATTCGCTCCAATGGATATTAAGTCTTTTCACGACTGGCGCGCGTCGCGTCCTCAATCTAATTGACCAACTATGTCAACCATCGCGAGCCTATTATTATAAATAAGAGGATCGTTTTCACGTGTCGTCTCGATCTTGATTTACGATAAAGATTTCGCGGTTCCGCACCCGGATCCTCTGCCGGGCGCGCCACGCCGGCGTTCGTGTTTCGCGCGTGACGCTCGCAATCTATCGAGCGCTTAGCGCCGAGCGCGTCGACCGCCGCCATCGCGCTGTGGCAGACGTCGGGCCAGTCGCGAGTCGTCTGCCGTGGCGTGTGGCGTGTCGTCGCGCGTGAGACGACTTCGGCGAAGACCTGGTGAAAATACACGCACGCGGAAAACTCCGTACGCGGCTACGCGAACTCCCCTTTCGTTCAAACCCCCAGTTCGGTCCCAGGTAAATCCGTGCTCCGATCGTCGACGGCGAATCGCCGCGACCGCAGGCCGCTGTGACGTGCGGACTCCCGCAGGAGATCCGACCAGCGAGGGACCGACGGGCGCAGTCGAAGATGTGCGGCGGGTTTACGTGCTCGAAAAACGCGCTGACAGCACTCAACATCCTTTACATCGTAAGTGGACACTCTCGAGGACGAGGCCTCGAGTGACTCCGATTTCTTTCCGAAACCTTCTCTCGTCTCTCTCTCTCTCTGTCCCTCCGATCCTCTTTATCGGAGAGAGAGAGAGAGTTCTCTTATCAATCGACGCCTCCCTCTCTCGCTCCCGTCCGCCTGACCGCGCGTTTCGCCGTCTCGCTCCGTCCCGACGCGACGTTCACGGACGACCGAAGCGTCCGCGTCCGCGTCCGCGTCCGCGCGTTGCATAATTGTGCAACAGCCGATTTCGCGTACATCCTGGTTGATTAGGGACGCTTGCCCCTCGCCCTCCTGCCGCCCGTGCCTTTTCCCCGGGATTGAGATCTATACGCGACGGCGAGAGACCTCAGATCGACTCGTGTCCATTTCCATGCAGATTAACTTTAATCTCGATTCAACTCGCTCTTTATCTTGTTCTGGTACTAAGAATTAGAAGAAAAAGAAGAGAAAAGTAACTTGGACCGAGATCAAAGTTGATCTACATTGGCAGAAACGGACGTTAATGATGGGAGCTTTCCAGCAAGCGACACAAGTCGACACAAGTGTCATTTTGTCTTTGTTACTCATCATTGCCAAAAAAGAAAGATAGAACGACGTTTGTGTCGACTTGTGTCGCTTACTGGAAAGTTCCCCTTATTAGCGCTCGTTGATGTCTCTGTCATCCCGTCGGATAATTGCGCGGAGAGTTACCGCGAATCTTATTGCGCTCATGGAAGTTGCTCTTATCCAGTAATCTCACCCTTGTACCTCATAAGAATGATTAATATTGTCGCGAACGAGGGCTATAACTTGACAATTGGTGCACTCGGATTATGCACAAGTCTGATAAGCCAGCTTTGGATTATCTGGCATTTGTCGTGGACGGAGAGTCAATTTTGCATCACGCTTTAGGACGGTGTGGACATTTTTATATTCTAATTGCCGTTTCTTCTCTTGCAGGTTGTTGCCTTCATATTGATAGGAGTCGCCGTATATGGAAGGGCATCCGCCTTAGTTACAAATCTCCCCATTATAGGTGGTATTCTAGCATGCGGGGTGATCCTGTTTCTCATTTCCATCCTAGGCCTGATCGGCGCCGTTAAACATCACCAGGTTTTATTGTTCTTTGTATCCTTTTCTCAGCTTTTGCGATAGCGGCTTTCGGTGTTGAGCTCGTCAACGGGGATCAGTGTTCCTATTTGATTTACCATCGCGATTTTATATCATGAATCTGATATTTGATGAAGAGAGCATTTATTCAGCATACTTTTTTTCGTACTGTTACGTTTGTATATTATTATTGTCAATAATAACTAACGCGTTTTATGTGATTCTTCATTAAATATTTTGATATGGTGTAATATCCTCGACAAAAGAAATTGGCGTACGTTTCCTTAATTGTGTTTTACAGTACATGCTTATCTTATTCCTTTTGTTCCTGATTCAATTCAGCATTGCCTGCGCTTGCCTCGCTGTCAATACGAAACAGCAAGAACAACTTGCGGAACAGGTAATTTTTTCATTCGGAAGGCATTACATTTATATATTATTTGATCTAGAATGGATGAGACTTAATAATATTATGTCTAGGGCTGGAGAAGCGTTGGACATGACTTAAGAGCAAAAGTTCAAACTACCTTTAACTGCTGCGGATTTAATAGCACCACTGATGAATCAGGTGGATCTTGCGACGACGTAAGTAGCGACAAAAATGGCATTCCGCGTGAAAATTGTCAAATAATTGATATCTTTTACAGAAGATTTGTTGTCAGTCAATCGATGTCACTCAAATGTCTTGTCCACCTTGTCCAACATGTATGCATAAACTGCAGTCTACCATTGACTATGCGTTCAAATTATGCGGCAGTATAGGATTATTCTTTAGCTTTACGGAGGTAAGGTTCCACGAACAACCGACATGGCATTTTTCACGTGTATATATATCACACAATTTGTACAGAATGCAATATGAAATATTGCACAGAACATGATTTATTTAATATTAATATTGAAGAGTTTTATCTAACTAAAAAGTGCACCATATCCATATTACGGTCGCCGATTACAATGAAAATACTCTCATTTTTGCTAATGCTAACATGTGTGCCCGATTACAGTTTGTTGGTGTATGGTTGACCGTGAGGTACAGGAACCAGAAAGATCCACGAGCTAATCCTAGTGCTTTCCTCTAGTCTAACACCATCGCCATGTCCTCTGTCACTTCATATGATCCTCCTAACAGATGGTGGGTGGCTTCATATGTCGGTTGTGGTTTTGATCTTTTTTTTTCCTTCCAGCGTTGTAGCATTACCGGTTCAGATATTCATTCGCTAATTGTTCATTCGTAATGTTTTAAAAACACTGTAAATTATGTGCGGTACATAGCATGCAGCGATTTACACGATAGCAATGTCCATAACTTTTGTATTTTTCTCATTTATTCTTTTCTTCGGATGTCTCCGGATCTGATAAATTTAAACATTTTCAGGTGATCGCAGCTTTCTTGGCAAGGCGTTACCGTAATCAATTAGATCCAGAGGAAAAAGCTGCGAGAGCCGTTTTTCCACAGCATAATTATTTATATTGATTCGGCGATACATTCAAAAAAGAATCAACTTTTCCTTTTATTCGTATTACATGTAGTTCATGATACTTTTATCGACATGAAAAGGACAAACATCTGAAATTAATTTTATTTTTGATTGCCCGGGATATATTGTTACGCAACATTTTCCAAGGGCTATTTTAAATTTAATTTAAACTTTTTCTTTTAATGCTTTAACTCTTTTAATTATACATACGTAATGCTCAATAGAGACAGAAGTTAGTACATTCTTTAACTGGGCAGTCATAGGTTTTAGAATGAGTTAGACGAATAATTGAAATGTGTGCTCTAGTCATATACTTAGAACACTCATAACAAGCCTCAATGCGCCTTGTAGTCTAGTGACAGATAACATCATGTAAGTATAAATTTGTATTAAATTTCGTTGCATAATTTTCTTCAACAATCCGTTGATAAATGGAAGTTGGCGATTAAGCTCTAATATATTATCATAGTTGTATCGTTTAGTTCCACAATTCGGATGAACCACAAAACTTAAAAGCATTCTAAAAAATATGGAACAACATAAAGAAATGATGTAAAGTAATATGCATATTAATTTTTTTAATATTTTTTCATGAGGGAATGTAGTTTATCGTGGTAAAAGCATAGATAACATCCACGATCTTGTCAATCATATTTTTCTCCCACATATAAATGAATCATATTAGATACATATACATAATTACATTCAATACATTACGACATCTAGAAATTTATATCTTCCCGAGTAAAAAGATTCTGTCATATCATCTTTGAGTACTTTTAGATAAACTTTATAATATTTTTATGTCTGCGAAGAGATTGTTTTTATATTTTAAAATGTTCTATTAACGTTATGATATAACTTATGTTATATTAAGAAATTGTAATCAAAATGACCCGAAAAAAATTGTAATGTACCCTTATAACAAACCATATCTGATTTGGATGAAACTTGGCTTACTTTTGACAGCTTTCGTATATTTGCTTATGATATCGCATGCGTATTATCCAAAATGTTAAGAAATTATACTTAAAATGTATAACTATCGAATTATTTATCGTACGATAATACCATAATCAATAGTAATATAAAATCTATCGTATTTCAAGTTTCATCCTCTAAAAATATCCAATATGAGTGCTTTGCTTGAAATTATAAATTCTATGCTGATTGTGCACTCTAAGAAAACTTACACGTAATAAGAATCTGAAATGTCCCTAAACAGCCTGGTGGGAAGTTATTGAAGAACTTTATATCAGTCTCATTTTCTTGTGCATAATGTAAAGTTTTTAATGGATCCTCGGCTTTTAAGCAGGCTTTTAAGCTTTTGCGATCGTAAGAGAGTATTTAAATTATTTTGTTGAATATTATTAGCCCGCACGGGTTTAATTATTATGAAAATTATATTTTATTTATGAAGAAAGATGCTTTCATTGAATGACGTCTCGTGAGATAATATCCTTCCAGGTTTTTTACGGACGATCTGCATAATATAAGAAAAACTACGAGAGACACGTGTTGTGAATTTAATGTGCATAATTATTACACGATGTACGTTTACATCGTCCCCTATTCTATAGCTATTAGAGAACATAGGATATTTTCTATCTACGCCCTGTCGCGTGAGACGTAGATGGGACGAATCTAGCCGTAGCTATAACGTTTTCGTGAGTCTCCCTGCCCGGAAAAAACAGCTGTTAAGATATCGCGTCTTCGCTGTTCAATAACGAATCGGAACCATCGCTCCATGCGTTGTCGCAATTTGCGTTAAAATTCTGAGAATACAATTAAACGAGAACCGAACAAAATTCATGGAATTCGTTATTGAACTATAAAACCGTAGTTTGACGTCGCACACATTTAAAGATTTTTTTTTTTAATATTTGGAAAATGTCGCTTTGATGAATTACCCAATATCGTTCCAACGAACGATTCGAGTCTACGCAAATCACGAAACTATGCCACAGTCACGTCTTACGAATAGTAGAAAGTAATTCGCGGATATATCTTCCGACGTAAGCGTGCGAAATAAAATCACGCGAACATTCCGATTTTTATGCGCATTCTTTCCTCCGGCTTTGGTAGAAAACGTGCATGTATTTTGCGTGTGTGCACGGAATAGAGGGCTCGTACACGAGAATATATACGGTAGCGTAATTCTCCTACATACATATTTTTACCTAAAAAAAAAAGTACGTATCGTAATCAATCTACTCGTAATATAGATTTAAACCACTGTACGTATATCCTGCGAGCTACGAACAATCGAGAAATGTGTATGGGAGCGATTCACACGCATCTTTTTGCGTAACTGCGAGATGGAATGACGTAAAGCACGCCCGATTATATTGTCTATATAATGCAATGCGTGCGTAAGAGAAATCAAAAATATTGATGCGTGCGGGAGGATTTGAGTGTTCGACAATCCTAGGTGACGGAAATCATGTATTGTACACGTTTAGAAATCATATATTCCATTTAACTCCTCACACCGAATATCTCCCGATTCTACAGGTCCGTTCTTTGTAACCGCGTCACGTTACACTTTCTGAATTTAGAATAAAAGAAAAATGTATAATGTATAATTGCGCGCGTTGGGCAGCGATAGATGGAAAGTGTAGAGAACTCGACTACAAGGAGCAGCCTTTTAGGTATTCTCTCCAGAGAGAATTCGAGGATATCGCCTAATTTTAAGGTTCAAAACGAATCGGATCTCGAGAGATGCTGCGTTTAATTCCGATATACTCGCGCATTCCAACGGAAGAGAAACAAATCTCAACTATGTTAAGCACGAGGAATTTTAAAGAATTTTAGTTATGAGATAGAGAAGAGCATATGCTATTGCACGACGCTGAAGAAATATCAAGAGCTAAACGATTGCGAGCGATAGAGTCTCAATTGCTAGAGCTCTCGTGTAATGATTGCGATAAATAAATTAGATGAAGGTTCGGATATGTATTTATTTAATTAATGTTGAGGGTGGGATCTTTCCTTGATTATTTTGTTTCAGTTAAATGGTTAAAGCCTCCCTGAAAACATTTCTTATATTTTCCCAGAAATTTTCTAAGAGTTTCTCCTATTTTAGATTTATGAAAAATTCTGAAAAAATATGTAAAATTTCTCAGATACTTTTCAGAAATAATTTTATAAGGATTTTTGAGATATTTTGATATCTATATGTTTGAAAATTTCTGATAAGTTGCACGGATTTTTTCATATATTTATTCAGATTTCTACACATGTCGACAGAAAAAATCTGGAATATTTCATTATTATTTTGTCCGAGTATTTTTGAAAAAATCCTAATTGTATAAGAAGTTTGAAAAATTCTCTTAAAATTTTCATAAATATTTTAATTGAGAAAGGTTCTGAGACATTTTTTCACCACTTTGCGATGCTAAAGTATAAGATCTAGACAAATTCAAATAATTAGCTATCTTAATTAGAACCATCAAAAGATTGTTAAAAATCTTTTTTTCCGCAAAGTAGTGAGACCATCACAAGTAGAAATATTTGAATTTGTCTTGTCCTCTGGCATCGCGAAGTGGAGTTCTAAACCAAAATCTCAATTTCTCGCGACTGACTCCCTTTTTTACGATCGATATGCGCTCGATGAGGATTATTTACATTCGCGTCGCGACGCTCGACGAGTTCATTCACCCCCCCGTTGCGTTGTCGATTATTTAACGCGGGTTGACGACCATCGATCTCGCCGTCGGACGACGGCGAGTCCATCGATTCGCGCTATCGATTCTTCTCACCATCCGACCATCCCCCCTAAAAAAAAAATAAAAATGGCCACCACGGGCGCGCAGCGCGCACAGTGCGCACACCGCGGCCGCCGCGCGCACGTAGCTCCACGGTGTTGATAAACAGGCGGGCGATAAAACGGCCCCGCGTCGGCCGACACTTAATTCTCGACGTTCCGACGCGTCGGCGACACACGGGGTAAAACGCAGCAACGACGGCGTCGATCGTGGAGAAGGTGAGGGAAGGGGCGGCGACGACGGCGGCGGTCCTGGCCGAGGAGCGGCGTCCCCGGGCTCATGGTGGCAGCGACGACGAGCGCGGCAACGTTGAGGTTATGGACAACTTCGTGAAAATCGAGAAGATAGGGGAGGGCACGTACGGGGTCGTCTACAAAGCCCGGGACAAGCTGACCGGCAAGCTGGTGGCGCTCAAGAAAATCCGTCTAGAGACGTACGTGCGGCCTCGTAAATTTATACTCGAATACATAAAAAAAAAATCTCTTTCTCTCTGTCTCTCTTTCTGTCTCTTTCTCTTTCGCCCGTTGGGAATGTTACCCTGTAAACCAGGGTGAACCTGATTCCGACCCCCCATCCCGACAAAAGCGTTCTCGGGGGGACGCTAGAGCCAGGCGGGATTTTATTTCTGAAGGAATTTTTATACAATAATTTTACTATCAGAAACTTGACAGAATCTGGATGAAAGTAAATTATTGAGTCAATTATTAATTGTTTTTCAAGAAACTCCTTATTACTATATTCTTGTCTTTTTGTCGTTTTGTATTATATCTCGAGCTAATAGGAACAATGCAAAAAGTACTTTTTTTTCCCCTTCTCTTTCTCTCATATTTAATCAATAAATATATTATATTCCTGTCTTTTTGTCGTTATAAGTTACATATCAAACTAATAGGAACAATGCAAAAAGTACTTCTCCCCCTCCCTCTTTTTCTCTCTTTCTCATATATTTAATCACACAATAAATATATTAATATTATACTAACTCTTAATTTAACCAATTACGCTTCTTAATGGAAAATACATTATATATTAAAAAAAATGTTCTTAAATTGTTTCATATGTAGATTCATAACATAATTATTAAGCTTGTATTAATCTAGCTTGGAACGTAATTTCCATAGCTATATATATCATTAATATCTCTTTTTCGACGCTTGATACGATGCTATTTTAATAAAATGTCCTACATTCTCCACTTACAAATAATATCTATATAAAAAAAAACACTAAATGAAACTTGTAGGCGCAAGAATATTTCAATTATTTTTTCAAGAAAATTATATTTGCCAATTTTTTTAATTATATGCGTTTTTGTACAAGTGAGTCATATTATTAATTTTATTCGTTACTTAAATAATAAGAATAATTTAATGGCGTGATATTAGATTTTTAATGGTGTATTCTTATAAATTTAATAGCATTTAATCCGAATAGCGTTTAAATTAAGATGTAATTCATCCGCGACTTTACAAAATTAATTCGAGATTAATAATTCGGCTATTGTTCATATATGTTAAAAGCGATCAGTTTGCAGAATTGCAATATGAGCTGGGCTTTTGCTTGTGCACACTGCTAACACACTGCTAACAATCTGCATATTGGGGTCAGCTGAATCTGCGGGGGCCACGTTACACTAATTTTCGTAGCACCACATTATTCAGCTTGTCCCATTATGCCATGCTCGCCTGGTATTTGATTTGGTATTTTTTATTTAATACACTGTAATCATTAATTTAATAAGATATGTTCCGTTAAGATTATTTTCGCGATGAAAACTTTATGTATATACATATATATCTTCTGCAATTATAACATTTTCACTAAAGATAATATTTTTCCTTGGGTACACAGAGATTAACGGAATTGCTTTTATATTATATTATATTATTATATTTGTCTTCTCACACCGAGATGCAACGTTGATGTTTTAAGTGTTATGTTGTACATGTCTGTAAGATATTTGTAAGTAAACTTTCCGAGTGGAAGGTTTCGTTGAAAAAAAAAAAGAATGAAATTTCCCTATGAAGAATTAAGGTTTTTTTTAACATATTCATCAGGTAAAGTCACTCAATTTTAAATTAAATAGTGCTGCTTTAAATCAGGGAAAGGGAAGGCGTTCCGTCTACCGCCATTCGAGAGATCTCGTTATTGAAAGACCTCGCTCATCCAAACATCATACAATTGTTCGATGTCGTAGACGGCGACAAACATCTGTATCTCGTGTTTGAATTTCTGCAGCAGGACCTGAAAAAGCTGCTAGACTCCGTTAAGGGGGGCCTAGAACCAGCTCTCGTCAAGGTAATGCGGATCTTAGCCCGCATTTCGCGCCGCGTACGTGCCATACGCGTGGATCTTTTAAAGACGGGGGCGGTTTGTGTTACAGAGCTACCTCTGCCAATTGCTGAAAGCAATTTCCTTTTGCCACCTCCGTTGTATATTGCACAGAGACTTAAAGCCGCAGAATTTACTGATAGATCGGGAAGGTCATATAAAGCTGGCCGACTTCGGATTAGCCAGAATGATCGGCGTACCCGTTCGCACTTACACACACGAGGTCGTCACCCTTTGGTATCGCGCACCAGAAGTTCTCCTGGGAACTAAATTGTACACTTGTGCGCTGGACATATGGAGCCTCGGTTGTATATTCGCAGAAATGGTACGTGAAAATATTGCGCGGACAATTGTATCTGAGTCTACTGAGTATCGGGATAAAATCGCGGTTTCTGCGAAATGATCTTTATAGGCAACCAGGAGAGCTCTGTTTCCCGGAGACTCCGAAATAGATCAGTTGTTTAGAATATTTCGCATGCTCGGCACACCGGATGAAACGATCTGGCCGGGGGTGTCGCAGCTTCCGGACTACACGTCCCGATTCCCAAGATGGGAGGTGGCTGACATAGGCGACGTTTTACCCGCTTTCGACGACGATGCCAAAGACTTACTTTCAGTAAGGGAAAAACCAGCATTATGTACCCCGCGAAAGCGCCTGCGTTTTTTTACACGTTTTTTTTTATGTTTCTAGAAAATGCTGACGTACGATCCTAATCAGAGGATAACCGCAAAAAAGGGATTGACTCATCCTTATTTCGCTGGGGTCAAATTAGTTCCACCTCCACTGCCAAAGAAAAACTGACGTAGATTTTATGGTCGATCGAATCGCTGTATTTTTATATATTTTTACATGAAACTTAAATGCGAAATAATTTTGGATGGAAATAACTTAATACTGCGAGTGTGTTCAAAAGTCTATAGTCTAAATATATATATTTTTACTTGTATAAATTAATTTTTGATTTGTCAATGTTATCTTCCACGCCTTCCTTAATTCTTCCTCATTTTCCATTCATTGCACAATGAATATGAATATATTCAATTATATTTTTTCAATAATTATATATAGATATATTTTTTATTTATATTTTATATATACTTTCAAAAATTGTGCGTGGCATTAAGAAGTATAAATTAAATCATTATCAAGCTTATATAAAAAATATCTTTAAAAAATGCGTGATTTATAATGTCCAACGAAGTAAAACGATATAATCATTCATAACATAGAATCGTAAATTCATTGATATTTGAAGAACATGTTTCCGACACCTATTAATCTTCCACATATGGAAGATACGAGGTTGGAAATTATGTGTGGATTTAGTTGGAAAAATAGGACTTGCGAAGACAAGTCCCTGTTTCGTTTTGTCTCGAATTTTTATTTTATTTTCGAATCAATCTTTTCTATTCGGTTGAAATTAGATCTAAAATAAAAAAATTTATTTTTACTTAAGAATAGCTTCGTCAATAAAAAGAAGATATCTGCTCTAGCAAGTGTAGTTATGACTTTCCTATTGTTATTTTCTCTAAATTACTAATTAGTTTGCACTCTTTCTTTTATGAAATGAACAGGATGCTCCAGACTTCGTGGTTCTTTTATATTTGTACACGAATTAATTAAGAAAAAATTGTGTTCTTTATTTATTGATATCAACACTTTTTTATTTATATGAAATTTGAATTAAGTTATGAACAGTGTTTCATTTCTGAATTTGATTTTAATGGAGATGTTTGAAAAGTTGAACATAAAATGATTGTAACTAGCAGAATAAAATTAAATTTTTGCCAAGAAAAGCTGAACTTCAAATTAATCGCAAATGAGGGAACATGCGAGGAGTCTGTGGCATCCTGTCCTAAAGTGCCAGAAAGCCCGTCGCGTTTTTTGATTCGATAGCTCTAATACGCCATTCGGGCGGATTGCGAGGATGGCTCGATTAACTTCGGTAAAGTAATTTTCGAATGAGTTTCGGCAGCCGCTGGACTTGCTTCTTGCGGTATCGGCGAAGACGCGAGTTTCGGAAGACGCAGCTCCTTGGGGGACGGAGTTTTTCTCGGTGTGCTGGGAGATATTCTACTAGGTGTGCCGGGAGATGGTTTTCTAGGTGTGCCAGGGGATGGTTTTCTAGGTGTGCCAGGGGAGGACTCATCGCCAGCGGATCTAACGCGTAAACTGCTGGGTGGACGCGGGGAAGTTGGCGACCTCCTCGCTGAGCGACCCTTCGGCGTGCCTTTGCTGTTTGTCACATCTGGCGAGGGTGTTTTGAACGTCCGTCCGTTTGCGAGGGTCGGACCCCCCGTTTCCTGCGTGAATTGCCCTCTGGGCGTCGCCGTCGTGGCGTCTGGAGATTTGGCCAGCCCGCTTTTAACAGCTCGGGGTGTCACGACGGACGAGGGTGACACGGCGCCACGGACTTTGGTCGGCGTCGAGGGTGGCGGTTGAGGCATCTCGTTGTCGCTGGTCTTTGAATCGTTCGGATCATCCTCCACGGAAGTCTGAATCTGAGGAGAATCGCAACGATCATTTGTTTATAAAAGTATATTCAACGATAGAATAAGTTGAATAATATATATTGGGTGCATCTAGTAATGTCGTCATTGATTACTTAGCGAGCTGTAATACTTGATGCACCCCTTTGTTACACTGTTTGTGCAAACTGACCTTTGATTGGCAGGCGGTGAATGGTAGCGATGCTTTGCGGACCTTGAGTGAATTGTA